TAACCCATTTGCGTCAAAAAAAAATTAAAAAAGTTAAAGAAAACGATTATGACAATTGACATTTTTACATCTTTATTGAAATGTTAATTTTACATGTTAATAATATAAATTTTAACCCATTTGCCTAAAATAATAAAAAAAATTAAATAATAACAATTATGACAAATGTCACTCTTTCATGGTATATCTTCATTGAATTTTTATTTTTTAACATGCTTAGTAACCTATTCACTTCAAAAGAATATCATAAAAATAATAATTAATATAACATTATATAATATGAAAATCTTTGAAGATCGTGGCTCAAAATATTAAAAAAAAAGATCTTCAAATTTTATGATCTTTAAAGGTCTTATTAAAAAATCATTTTGAAGATTTTTTGTATAACTATGCTTATAGTGACGTAGCCAGAATTAATCCATGGGGGTGGTTTTAAAAATTTGCCAATTTTGTGTTTCATTTATGTCTAACCACTATAGTAGCCAACATTATAGTTAAAAAATTTTAACCAAATTTATGATTAATATGCGACTGAAAGCATTATTCTAAAAATTTTATCAATGTTTAGTCAATTGTAAATTAATTCAATCCATTCGGTGTAGAAAGAAGAATAAAATCGCCCCCCCCCAAACCTCCCATTTTTATGATCACTCAATATATCTTATTCTATGTTAAAAATAAAGAATAATTGCGCTAAAAAGAATCGGTAGTAGAATAAGAATATGTAAGTCTGGTTTCGTTTGCTTTAGAATAAATAATAACGATATCTCCAAATAATAATAAAAATGCGATTAAATTTATTCTTTTATTAGTGTTTAAATAAAACGCAAATATATATATATCAAGTCGTTAAAAAAGTAATTTTTATTAACAAGTAAAATTATCGCGTGCTTGGAAAGTCAAAAACTTCAAATATATATATATCTAGTAAATCAATTTAAGGTAAATCAATTGATGGTTTGAGGCTTCGTATGTAGAAATAAAATAATATATTATGTGAATGTTTTTATATATGTAAATAGTCATAGTTTAAAACTTCAATTAACTTTGTATACTATGATATTAAATTATATTATGCAACATGCACCTCCTCAAAAAAAAAAAATATGAACTAAAATTAATAACATAGGGAATAGGAGCTCGCTTGGCATGCGGGAGGTAATTTTGATTTACTTATAAGAAGATAATAACAACAATAATGCAAAAGGGGCTATAAAAAACTTTGACCTTAAAATACAAATTGGTTAATCAAGTGGGAAAACATAGGGTAATAATGAGGGGACGGATTATGTATTATATTGATTTGAAAATATATGTATAATGGGAAATGGCACCATAATTATACATGATAGTTTTTTATGTAATTACCCTTAACAAAGGTATAGATTACACTATCTGTAGGTACAATTAACACTATAGGTGTCCAATAATCAATCAATATATTTGGAATATAATTCATATAATGAAGAAAATTACTAATGGGAAAATGGCACCATAGTTGTACATGATAGTTTTTTATGTAATTACCCTTAACAAAGGTATAGATTACACAATCCATAGGTACAATACACTATAGGTGTCCAATAATCAATCAATATATTTGGAATTCATATAATGAATAAAATTACTAATGGGGAAATGGCACCATAGTTGTACATGATAGTTTTTTAGGTAATTACCCTTACAAAGGTATAGATTACACTATCCATTGGTACAATTTACACTATCGGTGGCCAATCATCACTAAATATATTTGGAATAAAAATTAATAATATATTTGGAATAAAAATTAATATAAAGAATTGGTTAATTAAATGGGACAACATATGGTAATAATGAGGGGACGGGTTAGGATAAAAAAAAAGTATTGACAATACTATAATAACAAGAATTAAAAATTTGTATAAGTAGGTATGTATGATACAGAAGATATTTGGAAGAAATAGTTAAATAACAATGATTAGTATACAAACAATTCAAATAAATTGGGAGGGGAGTGGGGAGGGGTCAAATTCGCAAAACAATATAATTTTTTTCGTAATTATACCCTTGACTTAGATCTAGAAGAGAGGCTTACACTACATAAATTGGAATAATATAATAATAATAACCAATACTGGTTTTAAGTTAATTATTATATTACCACATTCCAGAAATGGTATTACTTTAAATACTAATCCTTGTTATTAAACAATAAATTAAATTCACATGTTAAAAAAAATAAATTTAAGAAAGTTTTAATTGTAAAACAAATAGGTGCTTACAAAATCTTTTGCAATTATTAGAATGGAAATTTTTTTTTATATCGATTAAATTGAATCATTCTTTTAACAACCGTCTCTTCATCTTCAGACCCATACCTAAGACGCAAAGGAAGTAACCAGTCTCTTTAACACGTCTTTTCAACTTCAGACCCATACTAGGAGCACATAGGTTGAATTCATTCTCCGCACCAGCTTCTAATAAGCTGGTGCCCCTATCCTCCACCATGACGCAAATAAAGAATAATTGCGCTAGAAAGAATCGGGTAGAATAAGAATATATAACTATATCTCCAAATAATAATAAAAATGCGATTAAATTTATTCTTTTATTAGTGTTTAAATAAAACGCAAATATATATATATCAAGTCGTTAAAAAAGTAATTTTTAAAGTAAAATTATCGCGTGCTTGGAAAGTCAAAAACTTCAAATATATATATATCTAGTAAATCAATTTAAGGTAAATCAATTGATGGTTTGAGGCTTCGTATGTAGAAATAAAATAATATATTATTTAGTGAATGTTTTTGTATATGTAAATAGTCATAGTTTAAAGCTTCAATTAATTTATTATGATATTAAATTATATTATGCAACAATTTTAATTAAATTTTTGCATATAACAAAATTTTACTGAGAATTTCATTATAGATTTTATTTATTATTTATACAATAAAATAAATTTCAAAATGTATAAATTTTATACAGATTATATTAAAAATTTATTCTTAAATAACTATATTTAAAAAAAATAAAATTACAATAAAATATGAGTAATTCTTTTGTGATAATTAAAAAAGAATCTAATTTAACAATTATAATATAATTAATACAAATGAGTGTATTAATAAAACATAAATAATACTTATTAGAGATTCGAAGTAGGATTTGGATCAGGCTGGGTCGGACCTAATATTTTTAAAAAAAAATTCGGGCCGGGTTGGGTCGGGCCTTGGAAATTTTTTAAAATATATTTCTAAATATATCAATTTTATGTTAAATTTTTTTATGTATAATAAAAATATTTGATTTTATTTATAAAAACTAGACGCCATATAACATATATCTTTTATTTTGAGTAATTATAAAAATGAATTTCTATATTTAAATAAATTCGGGCCAGGCCGAAAAAATTTTTTAAAAAAAATTTCGGGTTCGGGCCGGCAAAATTTTTTAAAATAATTTTGGGCAGGGCCGGGCTTGAAAATTAGACTCGATTACAGATCACTAATTCTTAGTGAAAATGCAATATTTTTATTAAAAATAGTATAATATATAAATTTTATGACTAAGAATTAATTATAATTACGTTTTGAATATAAAAATTTTATGACTAAGATCATATTATAATAATATAGCAATTTTATAATTTGAATTTATAAAGAGAGGTTTACTTTTCTCTGAGATTTGCCTAATTCATCTAGAATCAAATTTTTATCTAGAATAATCTCCTTATAAATATTTAATATTGCGAATCCATTTAAACGGCTTTTACCGGTGCTATTTATTAAAAAGGTTTTTAAACTTTACAGTTGAAAAATACCTTTCAGTAGTGCAGGTGCTAATAGGTAAGGTAACTAAGATTTTTATCTAAAAATTATAAAAAATTAATTAAAATTTTTAAAACTATCTAATTAGTTTAACATTATAAATTTTATTATTAAATTTATAAATATCTAATTTAACTATGCGAGAAAAAATTTACAATATATTTTTATTGTTATTTAATATTATACAAATAATTTTTAATATATATTTTTAAGCCATGTTATCAATTAAATTAAATATTCTTATTTGTTTTTTTATAAAATTTTTTTATTTTAGAGGTTACCCTCCCCCCCCCCCTCCCTTTTCTACGCCACTGTATGCTTATAATACAAGGCAAAGATATTAAAAATCAAATTTGCTGAAACTTGAACATATTCCATTTAATAGAAATTCAAAGAATGTTCTATTCTTATAATTAATATAACTTAAAATATTAAATTAATTATAAGTTAGTATCTAAATGTAGTTCAATATCTTCATTACTTGATATGCTAAATCGACCTTTTATTTTAGTTATAATATTAACATTTGATATAGATACACACTTTTTGAAGATTGTGAGATACTTTAACTCATATAAAAATTATTATGTTATCTATGAATTAAACAAAAATATCACCCTTAATTTATCTAAAATAACTAACATTTATATTTAAAAAATAATATTATAATTAACGCATAATGTAAACAATTTATAAAATATATATTTAAAAACTTTGTCATAAACTAAAACTTAAAATAATATATAGGTATATTAAAATTATATAAAGAACATGAATTGTAAACGAAGAATTTTAAAAAAAAGTAAAACAAGGCCCACATTGAGATCTAAATTAAGTCCTAACAAGGAAATTTAAGTTAATTGTAAAATTTCAAAAGAGGATATATATCATTGATTTTAAGATTTTTACCTAAAATCTTTAAAAAAAAATTCATTAGGAGTAAAAATATTAATGTAAAGATTGATGAACTATTAGATGAAGAACTGTAAGACAGGTGAAATCCTTTGTAAGATGCTTTCCTTATCAAGGAGTTTTTATAAGACCATCACGTCCTTTTCCATAATGTGAACTGAATCCAGGAATTTAGATAGTTTAAGAATCTTATTTTATTCAATGGTAGATCATATACAATGAGTGAGGTACACGACAGGTTGCAGATATGTCATTTGACATAAAGATGCACTTTATTCTTTTTTTTTTTATCATGTTAACTATATTTAAAAAATAAATCAAAATAAAATATAATGTGAAAATCTTAAAATTGATGGTTGAACTACAAATAATATATAGAGAGATTCCGAAAACGATTTGTGGCATAGATAGCTCGACTAGATGTGTAGATTTGCTAAATTTCTTAAGCAGCAAGTTGTATATAAAACATAGACGGCTTAGTTTATATATACACATAAAAAAAAATAATCAAAGTCCAGAAAAAATTATTATATTACCTATATATGTTAAAATTTTAGAGGTAAGAGACTTCATCAAAAACAAATGCTCAATTAATAATTTTTTATTTAAAATTATGGAAAATAATATATATTCTAATCACAATTCTCCAAGAAGTTTTAGTGTTACTAATAGAAATTCAAAAACCATAAATATTAGCCCCTCCAATAGTCAAAGTTCAGAAAAATCTCAAGCAAATTTTGTTTGCATCACTCAAGATAATTTATATGATTTATTGTCTATGCAAATGGAAAAATTTAACAATAATTTAGAAAAGAATGTATCGTATTCAAATGATAATATAAGTGATAAAGAGCAATTGATATATTGTGTATTACAACAATATTTTTTCCTAATCATTCTCTTGACATTAAGTATATTAATTCTTGATAAAAATTTGTAACTCAAATCTAGATTATGATATACTTAGCAAACCACACAAATTTACAAATCTAGAGACCATGAAAAATATACAATATTTATTACAAAGTCAAAACAAAAATCTACTAAATATCTACCTAGACAAGTTTGATAAATTTATGTCATTAAAATTTGTTCTTACTGGTAAATAACTGACTTAAATGATAATAAATTTATTCTCATCTTTTGATCCTTACTGTGTCAATTTCTATATGTATTTTCTCATCTGTTTTGTCATATATATGTAGTCATATATATGACAAAAGAGATGAGAAAATACACATAGAAATTGACACTGTAATTCTACCTACCGAGAAGGGTTTAACTCTGTTGGCGTAATATTTTTTGATTATAAAAAAATGTTCTACAAAAAAAATCATTAGCACCTTCTTTCCTGCAAGAATCGCTGTACTCAACCAGGCCCACTATGCCATCCTTTTCAAGATTTATTTCACAAAATATAATGATATTATATTTAAAAATTTAAGTCTGGCCTGGCCCAAAATTTTTAAAAAAATATTAGGCCCTACCCAGCTCGAACTGAAATATATTTTTAAAATACACCTTGCCCGAAACACATTTGGGCTGGGTTCAGTACAGACTGGGCCGTGATTTGCAGATCTCTATTATTTGTCAATTTTTTTAATATTGGATTAGCTTATTATTTGTATTTTCAATCATCAGCTATTAGAAAATATTTAATTAGCCAATCAGATATATCAGGTAGATAAAAAATGATTTATGATACAATTTTTTTTAAACATGCTAATTATTATTTTAAATTTTGATATCCCACTTGGATGTATTTTTTAGGCATTTTTCCTATAATGTTATTATATAAAATTGGATTGGCTGACATTGGTTATCAAATTGATATCAAATTGCCAGTGAAGTACCCTGGAAAAATAACATTTGACAAAATACAACAGACCAAAATACTTGAATTACAGAAATTTTTAATGCAATTTTTGTTGATAATTAGGGTACTTTTCTCTGTTAGTATTTTGTAGTGTCTCTTTGTCTGAGACATTTCATTCCAAAAAATGGAATTGATAGTATATTTAATTCACAGAAAATAAAAAACCGTTTGTTTATGAAGGTTACAAACACAAAAAACTTTCAATAACTGAAATAAGCGTCTTTAATTAATAAATATTAAATTGAAAATGATCTAAAAATTATAACACTTTAAAATATATAGTTATTTTTGAGCTGATATAAACATTACTCAGATATATAAACTGCCATTACATTTTGTGTTACTCTGCAAAAATTATAATATTAGTTGTTATTGACTATTAAAGAAGATCACCTATTTTTATCAATTGATACAATATTTATCAGAAACTTATAGAGTGCCTATTCCACAGCCTATCCTAATGTTTTTTGCTTTGGTTCAGACAGAATTTTTATTTTTGATTATTGAATGGTCTGGCAGCACCCCTACTCACCCCCTATGAAAGAAGCTTAATTTAAATTATATTATTTTAGAATCGTATTTAGCTTTATAAGATAAGGCAGAAAATGTTTTTTTTTCATTTAAAAAAAATGATAACATATTAAAATTTTTAAAAAATTATTTTTTTATGACTAAAATACGCGCTCCTACGCGCCCCCTATCAAAGAAGCTTAATTTATAAAAAATGAACGCAAAATCATATAGAGCTTATTAAAAGGCATAAAAAATGTTAATATTATATTTTAAAACTTATAACCTAGTGGGCTTTTGAAAAAAACAAAAAATTTTTTTTGACTAAACTACGCGCCCCCGTTAAATATACATTATTTTTAAAAAATGAATACAGAACCAAGTATAACTTTTCAAGTTCAGAAAATAATATTATTTATTTTTTTTAAATAAATATTTTTATTATCAAAAAAATTTTATTTTGACTAAACTACGCGCTCCCTATTAAAGAAGCTTAATTCATAAAAAAAATAAAGCATAATCGTATTAAGCTCATTAAAAGGAACCAAAAAATGTTAATATTAAGTTTATAAATTATTTATAACTTATTGAGATTTGGAAAAAACACTTAATTTCTTCTTTTTTTTGACTAAACTACGCTCCCCTTACGCGCTCCCGGTAAATATACATTGTTTTTAAAAAATGAATACAGAATCATGTGTAACTTTGAAAGGAGATAAGAAAATGGTATTTTTTTTCAAAATTTAATTATCAAAAAATTTTTTTTGCCTAAACTACGCGCCCCCTATCAAAGAAGCTTAATTCATAAAAAATTAAAGCATAATCGGATTAAGCTCATTAAAAGGAATCAAAAAATGTTAATATTAAGTTTATAAATTATTTATAACTTATTGAGATTTGGAAAAAAGACTTAATTTCTTCTTTTTTTTGACTAAACTACGCTCCCCCTACGCGCTCCCGGTAAATATACATTGTTTTTAAAAAATGAATACAGAATCATGTGTAACTTTTAAAGGAGATTCAGAAAATGGTATTTTTTTTAAAAATTTAATTATCAAAAAATTTTTTTTGCCTAAACTACGCGCCCCCTATCAAAGAAGCTTAATTCATAAAAAATTAAAGCATAATCGGATTAAGCTCATTAAAAGGAATCAAAAAATGTTAATATTAAGTTTATAAATTATTATAATTTATTGAGATTTGCAAAAAACACTTAATTTCTTCTTTTTTTGACTAAACTACGCGCCCTCTTTAAATATACATTATTTTTAAAAAATAAATACATATAATAATTTATAAACTTAATATTAATATTTTTTGATTCCTTTTACTGAGTTTAATCCGATTATGCTTTTAATTTTTTATGAATTAAGCTTCTTTGATAGGGGGCGCGTAGGGGCGTAGTTTAGTCAAAAAATTTTATTTTGATAATTAAAATTAAAAAAAAAATAATACCATTTTCTGAATCTCCTATAAAAGTCATACTTGATTCTGTATTTATTTTTTAAAATAATGTATATTTACCGGGAGCGCGTAGGGCCGCGTAGTTTAGTCAAAAAAAGAAGAAATTAAGTGTTTTTCCCAAATCTCAATAAGTTAGTCATCTCAACTAATGGTAATTTCTCCCAATCAACATATTCATTTTTAAAAATTTTAGCACGTAAAATTTTTAACATAACAAACGAAAAACGCGAGTCAATCTTCCTAAAACAAAAAATACAATTAGAAATTTTTAAACATAATTATACATTTTTTAGGAACATTTTTACTATAAGCTCTTTTTAGAGCCATCGATATTTTTTCAGAGATTGTCTATAAATATTGATCTACAAATTATGATATATATTTTTTAAAAATTAATATAAATAAAAAAAAAAAAATTGTTAAATTTATAAACTTAATATTAACATTTTTTGTTCCTTTTAATGAGCTTAATACGATTATGCTTTATTTTTTTAATGAATTAAGCTTAATAGGGGAGCGCGTAGTTTAGTCTAGAGAACTGCAAAGTAATTTTTTCGCAACCCGAGCCCGACCCGAGCCCGAATTTAATTTTTTTGTCCGAGCCCGACCCGAGCCCGAGCACACATTTTTTAGTCCAACCCGACCAGAGCCCGACCCGAATAAAATTTTGCAATTTAAGTTTTTATATTATAATAACCAAAAAAAATTTTATGTGTATTTATTCAGTTCAGCCACCTTAAATAAAAGTTTATTTGACGGCCATAATCTATTCAAGATATATATTAAGTTGCATTTTATTAAATTTGTAAAAAATATTATAAAACGATTAATATACAAGCGAATTTAAAAATTATAACGATTATATAATACAATAAGCATCATTTATGCGAATATAGATATGGTATAAAAGTTAATAAATATATAAAAAATATAATGAACATATTATATTATATTGACCTCATCAATATCATTATCAAAATTATTACAAAGTGAATAATTATGATATATAAATAAAGAGGCGTCCAGTTTATCTGGTTTTAAACGAGTCCTTCTTTCCTCAAAGGCCTTATCAGCAGCTGAAAACGCCCTTTCACTGCTAGCCGACGAAGCAGGGATAGCTAGGAATTTAAGAGCTAAAATACTTAAATTTGGAAACTCATAATGGTTTGTTTTCTACCATTTTAAAATATTATCGTCATCAATACATAATTTCGGATCTAGGTATTTTTTTAGCTCGTCAACTTCGGCGCTAGCATCAGAATACGCATTGTCAGCCTCCCATAGAAAGAAGTCCAAAAACTTATCTACCACCTCTGTAGTTTCTTAAGAAAAAAATATTCATTAATAATATTAAGATATATATTTATTATTTTTTAATAAATAATTTTATTATTAATTTAATAAACCTTTATTTACTACTCTATCGGTTGAGCACGAGTTAGATGGTGAGTTGTTTAAAGACTTTTGCTCAATCACATCTCTGTTGATTTTCTCTGCATTAATCAACGTGTTGATATGTTGACACAAATCTTTATAATGTTCCCGGGATAACATTTTCATATCCCGAAATTTTGGGCACAAAAACGTCGAAATTTGGTGGAATAAATCTATTTTAAATTTATCCACCAATATTTCCCGGCATCTTAATGAAAGCTGGTTTAGCTGATAGTTTAAGCTAGGATTAGCTAAAAAACTCAATATTTTATGATAACATAAAATAACTTTGTGAATAGTAGGTTTTAAATCACTCTCAAGTTCATCACTCGCAATTTTAAAAGGCGTCAGAAACTTGATCAGATCCCTCATCATTTCAAATTCAATATTTTCAAGTCTAATCGACTCTCCTCTGGAATTGAGGATTTTCAATATGTTATTAAATTGATTAAAGATCGATTCAATCATATTCAGCCTACTATTCCACATAGTCTCAACACATGTGGAGAGTTTTATCGAGGCGATTAACTAATCTAAAATGTAATGATATATTTTAATAAAAAGTTAATTTAACATACCCACTCTGTTTCATATACGTTACTAAACTTTTACAGTCATTAAAACATTGATTTATCTCCGAACAAGATTCAATATTTTTGTTATCAAAAGTATTTCTCAATACTGTATTTAATAGATGAGAAGCACAATTTAAACGCTTATGATTTTCAAAAGCTTTAATCATATTAGCTCCTTGGTCGGTAATAATTGGAATTTCCGAT